AACCAGGTCCTAGAGCTCATCCCGCTCTGCAAAGGCTATGTGCGGAAACTGGAGATCGATCAGTTCCTGCCACCAGTGAAGGTGGATCAAAAAGAGGAGAGGGATGACCTCTCTGATACAGGGAGTGACTTTGAATCTGGTGAGGTCTCCGTGCAACATTACGACCTGAAAGATCTCATTACTGCTCTCCCTCACCTTGAAGAGCTTCATCTCACTTATGGCGTGAAGGACTGTGGCATGAACTTTGAGTGGAACCTCTTTAACTTCACCAACCAGGACTGCTGCAATTTGGCTGCTGCCGTGAAGATGTGCCACAACCTGAAAGTAATGTACCCCAAACTGAACCTTCCCCTTCCTCAGATAGATCTTCAAATCACCTGGGGATAGAAGTGCAGGGACCAGTTTTTGCTTGCTGGCAGCACCCTTCCTTTTGCAAGTTACAGAGCCTGGCAGAGTGCAGTGATGTAACTTGCTGGCCTAGTGCTGAGTATCTCATTCTGTAATATCCTTGTTAGAACGGGTTGTCAGAGGATCAGTGAGAAAAATACTTACTCCCACAAAACATGTTGCCTGTAGCATAAGGGACAGCAGCACTCCTGTTTCAACTCCTCACACAGTTCTGGGAGGGAAGGAGAAGTCCGGAGAGAGTTTTTCGTAAGGAGTTTTAGTAGTTATGCTGAGTAAATACATGTTAACCTGCCCCAGAGGAGCAAAGACACCCAAGAAGAGCATGGGGAAATACTCGCACTTCTCTTAGAATGATGAAGGGTTTTCCTCCTGGGCATTAGGAGCATCTTCAGTTTTGGTAACTGCAGTGAAGATAGCCCCTCCAAAACATCAGTAGGCATTGCTATCTATAGCAGAGACAGGGCAAGCTGGCTGAACACTCTCCCCATAGATCACCATGCTTTGGGAAATATTTGTCTACTTGGCTTCCAAAAGAGAAATGACCTCTCTTGTGGCTGTTAAGGTGCCTTGGCAGCACAGGACATTGCACTGTGGTTACCACTGGTGTGCATGTTCATTCAGACAATGTTGGACTGTGATCTGAGGTGGGCTCTGCTGTCACTTGCTGCAGACGTTTGGACAGCTTTATCTTGCTTTAATTCAGCCCCCAGTTAAAAATCTTGTGCAGTCAGAGGAGAGGAACAGGAATTTCCAGAAGACAAACCATGTTTCCTTAGAATAGGCATGGGACACCAGTGGCATGCCCTGCCTGCTGGAAGTATCTGCCCACTATGAAAGCAACTACTCAAACCTACTGGCTAAAGGTATTGGAAGTGAAGGGAGATGAAACCTGTCTGGAGGACCACAGGCTTAACTCCCTTGAGATCTTGTAAAAGCTCAGTCCAAAGCACTGGCTGTTTTAGTGACCTTGCTTTTTATCCCCACAGGTTTTCAAGCTGACACGAAGCAATGTGGATGATGAAAAAACCAAGCTGCTGGCCCGTAGCTTGCTGGATCACCCCTGCTTGGTGGAGCTGAATTTGTCCCATAATCTCATCAGGGACAAGGGGGCACAAGCTCTTGGCAAGCTGATCAGTCGCAGCAGATTAGAAATCCTTGATCTGTGTAACAACCAGATCCATCACCTGGGGGCTCAGGCTCTTTCTCAAGCCCTGGCTGAGAAGTCCACCCTGACCTCACTGAATCTGCGCCTCAACTGCGTGGAGGACAAAGGCGGGGAGGCGATTGGCCGTGCCCTGTTGACCAACACCACCCTGAAGTCCATCCATCTGGGAAGTAATAACCTGTCAGAGCCAACTGCTACACTTTTCTCCCAGGTCCTGGCTCAGAACACCACCCTGAGGAGCATCAACTTTTCATGCAACCACCTGGGGCTGGTAAGAAAACCCACTTCTCCCTGCAGTTTGTGAGCCTGTGTGGTGGATTTGAAAAGCAGAAGCTGAGCCTGCCCTCCCTCAAAGCCACAGAGGCAAATGAATCCCTCATTTTGGAATCTCTCTGTGATAACAATCAGTTGCGAGCAGGAAAGAGACTCTGGCAGAGGGCAGGAAGAAGGACACATTCTGTGCATGCACACATATTTATCTCACTTGTTACATCTAGCTCCATTCACAGGGCTGAATCTGGCTTTGAGGCTTTGGGCTTTTGGGCAGGGAGGGATTCCCACTCCCAGGAAACTGAACACCAGGGAGTATGTTTGGGAAAAATCACAGCCACTTTGCACATGTGAGAATAGTTAATAATGATAGGTGACGTGAGATGAGGGCCTCATGCATATCTTCTGTGCTTTGGATCTGCTGTGCCATCTGTCACTCAACAGCATACAGATAGTGTCACCCTTCCCAGAATTTCTCCCATCCATCACATGCTCAGAGGAGAGTGTTAGAAAATTGGCTCAGTTGCTGAGCTTCTTTAACTCACTCTGCAGCCCTGGAGCAGTGCTCTGGGTCAGAAGTGTCACGTCTGGGTGCTTATTAGTGGCTCCTAAAACACAGGCTTACATTTTCTAGACAGAAGAGCATCCACAGATCTTACAACATCCCAAAGAGCTGCAGTATGCAACATGCCCACAAACCAGACCGCTTCTCCACTGCTGATTAAAAAGAGCTTTAGAAATCCGAAACTAGGCAGCCAAAAGCAATCATGCTGACTTTTAAACTTTCTGCACTGCCTCAGTTATTCTCTCTGTCAAATAAAGAGACAGCAAGACCAGCTGTCCCTGCTGGCAAGAATATTGGCATCAATGTGTTTGACAACGGTTTTAAAAGGATTTGATGGCAGAAAACCTTTTGTGAGTTCTGAGTTTTATGGTCCCGGATGTGGAAAACCATTTGAGTTTAATGATACAAGTGGGCAAAGATTGGAAAGGATAGAAGGATTTTTGTTTAGTAAATAATAATCTCTATGCTTAGCATCTTCCTTCTGTTGAGCTCTCCTGTTACCCATTTGTGAAGCCTCAGAGCAGCCCAAAACTCAGCTGGTGATATTACCTTTGGGAAAATTGGGGGGTTTGCTACAGATGCACTAAATTCTGACCTCTGTACCTCATTAAAAAGAGACTTCTTCCCAGTCCTTTTTGCTCTGCCCTTTTTGGCAAAAGGGCTAAGAGAGAGGGTGGTGGGATGAGAGGACCATCTGGATGGAGGAGATGGGGCAGGAGGTGTATTTGGTACCCGAAAGAGAATAGCTAAGATGGTAAAAAGTTCAATTTGTCACATGCCTAAATACAGTGCTTTGGGTAACAAAGAGAAATGCCCCAGAGTGAGTTGCCTCCCTAAGGCTATCTACATCACATTTTCTGTACCAAGCAGGCTGGACTTCAGTTGTGTGAGATGTTCCCCTCAGGAAAGCCAACCCAGTCTGGGAAATGGCATCCAGGCAGGAAACTGCCAGTACTGGGTCTCACACCACTGATGAGAGGAGGAGCAGAATGAGGAACAGTACACTAATCACACTACTATTTGTCCCCAGCCAGCAGTGAGCTGGGGACTGAGGGACAGGGGGGAGCAGACTCCTCTCAGGTTATCACTGCCAGACAGACTTGTTATTAACCAGTCTGAGCTTGAGAACTCCTGACATGGTACCCAGAGGGAGTCATTAGCATGTGTCATATCACTGAGAGCTGCATAAGGTTACACTCCTTCCCTGCACTTCTCCTGTGAGCAACATTTCAGGCTTGGGTGAAGGCCTTCATCCTTTGTGGCACCATCTCACGGACTTTCCACTGCCAGCAGCAGAAGTTGCCCTGGGGAGGAGAGAAAAGGAGCAATACACCTCCCTTTTGGATCTCCTCCCTTAACCACTCCTTCTCATCCTTTTGCAGGATGGTGGGAAGCAGCTGCTTGCAGGGCTGGCAGACAACAAGACTTTGACTGAGCTTGACCTCCGCCGGACAGAGGTGGACCAGGAGGCTGAGTACTTCATTCACCAAATTGTGTGGGCCAATAGGGAAGCAGTGAGGCTGCAGCACCCCATCACCAAGCCCCCCTGAATAAAATGCTCCAGCACAACGAGCTTGGGAGGTACAGTGTTGGAGGCACTTTTCTTCAGTCTTGGTTTTATTTGTATTTCTGAGAAACACTTATCTTGTGGCTGTCATCGCAGCCTTTCCCAGACCCCCATCATCCAACCTGTGGCTTAATAGGAGACAGACGTTAGACCTGAAGGGACTGTAGTGGCACCACAGAGCAGTCTGCCTCTTGAGCCCCTCTCTCATTGCACACCAGACTATATTCCACCTCCTGTGGTGCTTCTAAAGTGCCCCAGCAATAAGCTGAGTTCAGGTAACTGTTCCACCTGTAAAGCAGCTAAGGTGAAGCCTCTGCCATCTAAATAGTTTAGTCCAGAGCTAACTTTCAGGGCAGGCAGCTTTTTTAAGCATTTTGCTGAGGAGGATGTGAGATGCATAGGGGATTGAGGGAATGTTGTTTCTAGTTCCTTGGCAGCTTTTTCTGGATACTGCTCTACTCAAGAATTTATTTGTATTTATAGCAAAATCTGTCTGGAGTCTGATATGGATGGTGAAAAGCACTAAGAAATAAATTCAATAAATCATAGGTCTCGCCACTGTGGTTTCCTGCTTTGGGTTGCTATGCCTTTGATCAGTGCTAGCCTGCTTTGCAAACAGGTGAATTCTTTATAACCAGATGCTTACCTTGCCTAGTAGTGATCTTCTGTGCAAATCTGTACAAAAAAAAAAATCTGTATTTGCAAAACTTCAAGCTAGAGGGGTCCCTGCAGGACTGCTAGCCCACACAGTCCACAATGTTGAAAATGGAGGAGTTTCTTTGGAGTTGGAGCAAAATGGAGCAGCTTCCTTTTGCTCAACAAGCTGTGGCCACCTGAGGAAAGGACAGGGCACATACTTGACTGCCTTGGTCCTTTGACCACCCTGCTCAGGAGATGTCATCAGGGAATTCAGCAAGTGGGCTGACTTCCATCCCCTCTTGCCCTCTGAGCAATGGTAAGGGGGCTTCACATTCCTCTAAGCCTGTCCAGCACCAGTACTCACAGACCCACTGCTGGCAACCACCTCAGTGAATCATCTGAAACTTTTATTACACCGATTTGGTTTACAATCTTTGTACTTTGATATTTCCAACAAAAAAGGCAACATTGTGATATACTGTTTGTACATATATAGAGAGACAGACAGAGCTAGATCATATTGACAGAGTTGAAAAGTAAAAACTGTTTCCCAGTGTTCACAAAAGAATTTATCCACCACATACCCGCTTCTGCCTTGCCCTGCCTGATGGATACAGACACCTGTGGTGCCGCCAGCCCCTGGCCGACGGGACCTTTACCTGCACCGTGTCACACCCGTACAGATCAGAAGGATGGAGTGTGAGGCTGTCTCCAGTGCCGCTGGCCACACAAGGGGCGCTGACAAGGCTCAGCCCCGAGCCCTCACAAGTTTGCGTAGCTCCCTTCCCAACTATTGATGGAAGCTTCAGGGGCTACATCCACAAGAATTCCTAACCAGAACCAGCAGCTGTGAAACCTCCCTATCTGGGCATCTCCCACTACTTGTTTCCCATCCTCGAGACCGAGGTATTGAATATACTTATTTATTTTTATTTGCATTTACAAAATATTTCCACTGGATGACCAAACCTCAATGAGATGAGAACTCATGTTCAGAAACAGCAGAAAAGACTCAGATCAGCATCAGGCTGATGAAGCAACAGCTCCAGCAGCGAGGGTGTTGGCTTAATGGGAGTGGCCTGGTCCTGGGCAAGCTTGCCTCTAGCTCCAAGGACAGGGCTGCAGTTGGTCAGCCAGTTGTGCAATGAAAGCTCATGCTGGGAGGGCAGCGATGAGATCCTGCAGACATGCTAGCAGACACAAGAGGAGGAATTGACTGCCAGAGCCAGTGAGGACAAAGGAAGGAAAGAAAAGGCTTGGGAAAACATGTCATCACCAGAAAAACTGCTGACTTGGTTTCCAGGATATTCACTGCTCCTTTTCCTGCAAACAGTCCTGAGACTGTTAACACCACCTAAGTACCCCCCAAACCCACTCCTGGGCTGCCACAGGCAAGAATGCCTGGACAGTTAGCTGGTGCCTGGAGAACCCTTTGCCCTCCCTCCCATCAATCTCTTGGCCAAAGAGCAAAGTCCACACCAAGCTGCCTGCACCATTTGCCCACACCCAAGACTAACAATCAACTATCTGCCAGTCTGCAAGGGCTGTAACTATGTCAAACACCACACACGTTGGCTAAAAAAAAGGTCTGCCAGCAACAGCAGATTGTATGAATGTAAACATTTCCACTGTAGGTGGTTCACTTGTCAGCTCCAGGTCCAGTTACAGTACAGTGGGACTGCCTTCCAGAGTGGTAACTAGCTGGTCACTCTGTGCTGGGAAAGGAATGTGCCAGCAGAGGGCCAGGACAGACCCCTTAGCTCTCCTTTGAGATCTATCCCCAAGGAGTACTGTCAGGCTTTGAGGAAGGGGGTCATCTGTGGGTCTCTGTCTGAAGGAGGGAATGACCTCCAGCACCGCCACCACCCACCAATGCTGCATGAGTGGCACTCAGCAGCAGAGGAACCCCAGCCAAGCTGGGAACATCCCCCCGCCCATGGATCTGTGCCAGAGAGATCTGTGGGGAGAGATGAGGGTGGCCGGAAAGTAAAAGAGGGGGAATGACACAAGGGCTTGCACTTGGGCTATGATAGCAGGTGCCCCATCAGGCCGGAGCAGGGGTGCCCAGCTCACTCCCTCATGGAGCAGATGGTGAGCCCGGCTTCCACTGCTCTGAGCAGAGTGCACGCGGCAGCAGGAGAAGGTGGCCAGCTTCCCAAGCCTGGCGGCTTTTGCTCACAGCGACCCAGGCATTGATTTGCAAGGTGTCACACTGGCATATGTCACAAACAGGATGGCAGGCTGATTTTGAGCACCGACTGGGGGAGGAGAAGCAGACTGCCACGGCGATGGGCAGAGGCTGTGCATTGAAATGGTTGCTGTTCAGCCTCCCTTTGCTCCCATGGAGCTGGATTTGTCCACACTGAGCTTCTGTCCCTGCCTGCTTGGGTACCTGCCGGCCCTCTGCACAGTTAAGATGAAGTGCTGGTGGCTGGGGTTCAACAGCACGGGGGAAAATGGGTGTCCTGTGCATTGCCTCTGGGACAGCACAGTGAAGCCACCTCTGGACAGGGGGAGAACTTGGGCTGGAGCAGGCTCAGAGAATTTCCAGGTTGCCTCTTATAGAGGCAAACTACGAAACTGAACTGGGGAGGAAACAGCATGCTTGTAAAACATGGCACCAAGCACTACTGGCTTGAAATGCACAGCCCAGCCCATGCAACTCTACAACCCAGACAACTCACATAAGCTCTCCTTATTGCTGGGGACCCACCAATTTATGCCACCAGCCCCTACGTCACCCCTGTCCTCCGTGCAGCAGTCTCCCTCCAAACTCCTTTACCAGCTAGCCCCATGCACCACCCTGCTGACAGGGAACTTTTGGCTAACCTAGATCCTTTACTGCTTCTTCCTTCTATTGCAGTGAAAAGGGACGAAGCCTGAGCTCATGCGACTGGGAAGCTGAGGGGTGGCACAGAGCCAAACCCTGCACTGGTTTCCCTAGGTGGAGGGGATGGCTCAGAAAAGAAGCATTCCTCCTCCCCACAGGGTATGCCTGAAATAGCCAAGCCTGTCAGATCCCTGTCTCTGGCCGTGATGGATTAGCCTCTCCAAGGCACAGGGCAATTTATTCATTAGTGACACTTACACCTTGTGGCTGCATTAGCCATCACGGTTGGTAACACGTGCTCAAGCTGTCAGTCCTGGGCTTAGAGGCAACACCACTGTTCCAGCAGTGCAGCGAGACATGGACTGGGCACTTCAGCTTGGGAATACCTCCTGCCTGTCTTCTCAGCTGGAGCATGCACAGACTGCTTTGAAAGCCCACTCTCTTCCCAAGCTTCTCCATCAAACGCCCTGCTCCCTCTGTTCCCCCCCCTTGCCTTGCAGCACCGCTGCTCCAGCACCACAGCCTCCTGCCTCGTCTTGTCTTCTGTCTCCTGTAAAAACCACCGCACCTGTAAATCTTTTTACAGCTGTTCTCCTACCAACCCTCCTCTCCACATCTTGCTGAGCATTCACATGCTATTCTGCCCTCCATCAGTGCACTTTGTGCAGCCCACAGCAAAGCTGCTCTCAGCCCCAGCAGAGAAGCACAGAGCACACGTTTGGAGACTCCAGCAGATATGCTGCTTTCACTACGATGCTGTTCCCTGCCCCCACACTGCCACAACAGCCGACCTGCCTCTCCTCCCCAGGGGCAGCACCAAAGATTTGGGGACCAGGACCACCAAAATGTCAAGGCCTTCTGTTTTCTAACTTTGGTCTGTTGAACTTACCCTGATTACCGAGGCTCAGACAAGTGCTATGAAATTCTCTGGAAAAGCACAAGATGATGCCAGGACGTGCGCAGTTGCTCTCCACCAAGCAAGGAGGAGGCATGCCAGGGCAGGGAGCACTGTTGCAATGCTGTGCACCAGCAGGGTATTGTGAGTTCTGCCCACAAGCATGCCTGCGGTCATCGTGTGTCTGCTGGCATTTCATGGCTGGCCCACAACACCCAGCAGGGACAGGACCCAAAAGATGTGAACACACAGCCTCAGAGGAGTTCAGGGGAGAGGGGTCCTTTGGCTACCTCATAGGAATGACAGTTTTCCTATCAGGTTTGGAGAGGGTGGGAAGAGACGGAAAACATTGTCCAAGGAGCAGATCCAGCAGCTCTCCTGTTTCAGGCAGACAGCAATGGATTAGCTTGTTCTTAAACACAGCTTGCTCCATGCTTTTATCCCTGCTCCTTGGCACTCACTGCAGCAAATGTGACACTTCACACCATCTTCTCACAGAAACCAGGTCAGGATTTTCCTCTCACAAGGAACAAGCAAGGCTGTCACCCTGAAAAGCCCTTGCCGCAAAGGTAGATGGGTGTCACCAGCCCAGAGCCACAAACACACCAACCCTCTGCAGGGCCACGGGTCCCAGCTGTGCACACAAGCATGCAGAAGCCCACCCTACCATGCGTGCATGTGTAGGTGGATGGCCAGGTCACACCTCAGAGGAAGACTTTAAACTCCAGCCTCTGTTCCAGCCTACCCCACTGCGAAGCCACAGGGACACCATCCCAATCCACCTTGAGCATTTCTTCTCCATCACCACAACAAAGGCTGGAACGAGTGGAGAGTTTAAACCCACTTCATCACCAAAAATTTTTTTTTTTTAAGCAAGGAACAGCAACATGAAACACTTCTCACAACTGTTAAGGCCTCCTAGTCTCATTTCAGTTCAAAAAAGATGTTGGCATTTCCAAAGTGAAATCCTGTTATTTTGGGGTCTAGTTGTCACTGCTGTTTCCCATTGGCTGAGCTGTGCTGTGCATCATGCTCCATCAGACATGTCACTACTCTCATTCTCCTCTGCTTGGCCCCTGGGAGCAGGCTCTTCCTGGGGGACAGGTGCAGCACAGAGCCCACCAGCTCCTGGCACAGCCGAGCTGGAGGTGATGCCTGCTTTCAGCTGCTCCTCCCACTGCATCTCCTTCTGGAGATGCGCTAGACTCAGGCTTGTGTTTTTCCAAACTTTTACCCTGACTGGTTCATGGGCTGTCATCCAAAGTCCGAATTCATGGCACAGCAGCCGACAGCGCTGCTAATGGACATTGGGACCATGGGACTGATACAAAGTACTACGTCATCTCACCACATTCTAGCTAGGCTTTTTCTTCCACTAATGTGAGTAGCTAAGATCGCAGAAGCAGCTTGTGCTGATGGAGAGTGAAAGAACCTCATGTGTCTGTGTGTGAAGTTATTTTGTTCTACAAAATCCGTTAAATTATAATCACAGTAGGTGATCCATCCATTCACGAAGTTCAAAAGACTGGGGAGGGTTCAGGATGGGCACCAATTTCTCACAAGCTTCATTTCCCCCAAATGAAGTTTACAAAAACGGAACGAACAAAATGGCCCAACAGAAACAGTCGTCCTTGGGAATGGGGGGAGGAATAAAACCCACTTAGCTTTCCAGCAGCCTCTGTGCTTATTCTCAGTGCCGGATGGCCATGCTGCACATTGTAATGAGCTCCTGAAAACTTGGCAGCTTCTGGAAGAGTTGCATAGGTGGATGATATACTTGTGGTAGAGCCTGTGTATGAGCCTGTGTATGAGGAAGAGGAGATTGCTGAACTCCACAGGGAAACTGTCCCTCCCCCAAGACAGACATATGAGGTAAGGAGGGAAGGAGGAAGGGCAGGCCACGAGGCCATGGGTCTTGCCAGTTCAGTTCTGTCCTTGGGACCTCTTTTTCCTCAGGTGCAGAAAGGCTACGGTCCTGTGGGAGAAGGCTCCTCTCCCAGTGCTGTGGAGGTCAGTTTGCTTGTTAGCTTGCTTTTGAGAGAGTTGACAGATCACATCCATGGGCATAACGTTCCCCTTGGTGGAGCAGCTGTGATGGAGGCAGTAGAGCAAAACAATTCAACCCACTGCTTGCAGAAACAGTAGATATTCAACATTCATTTATGTTGGTCAAATCCCAACACAAATTCTATACATCAGAGCAACACTGTGACAAATCAATTTGTCTGGACTCAAAGACAGACCCCCTCTGAGGAGTTGCTAAGCCAAGCTTACATTAGTACAGTACCACTGGCTTCAATAAAATTACACTAGGAATAAGCATAGCCCATTAATTTCTACCTGAAAAGTGACTATGCTCGTTTCCACTTTTTCCAGAATGCCCACAGGGGAAACAGCCTTAGGTGGGCTCAGCCCCAATTCCTCACTGGGCTCCCAGGTCCTATGAACCAGCCTTTGGCCCCCATGCATACCTGGCTCGGTGGAGACTCTAGGCCCAAGTGCATCACTGGAGGCAGCAGCACCAAACAGAGCTACACTTAAACCATGTCTCATTTCTGAGATCACCTGGATACAGATCATATTCACACAGACCTTATTCTAATACGCACATGAATGAAACATGATCAGAAGCACATATCCCAGCTTAAGACTTACAGCTCTTTGGTAACACAACATCTTGGTGGTGGTATAGTATTTCAGACTCAGACCCTACAGCTACGGTGGCAGAGTAGGAGGACATTGCAGCAAGGTTGTACCCTGCTCATGTAAGGCAGCATCCTGGTGATATTAGACAGCTGTACTGAAGCTGTGGTTGGAAAGGCTGGAAGAAGAGCTTAAAAGGTGTTATTTGTCCCACTGGCTAATCAGCAGGCACTGTTCCACTGACATCGGATGCTACCTAACTCTCTCGAACTTCCACTAAATAAACATTTTCCCGCAGTCCTCTCCCCACGGGCATCCATCAGTTATTAAACATCTCTCCAGCCTTTTGAGTGAAAAGACAACAAAGAGGGCAGGGACTGGCTGGATCTCTAAGGTGCATTTTATGGGGAGCAGAAAGGGAGGGGGATGTATAGCAACTTCCCCAGCCCTAATACACCCTAATGCACATTTGCCTGGTGTGTGATTCTGGAAGGCCTGGGCTTCGCCATAAGCTGAGATTCCCTCTTCCCATCCTAACAAATGCCCCCTACAGCTGCTCACTCTGACAGCCCTCTCTGAAACCTCCTTCCTTGGTGTAGAGTGAGACACGACATGCAGTGGGCTCAGGAAGTACCACCAGGCTGGCTGGTGTTGCCGACCAGTTCTGCGCAAGCAAAGTGCCAGGCGCTATCTGGGAAGCTTACAGTGTGCTGAAAGATAGATAAATGGGTGGTCATGTGTCTGGAAGATCAGCTAATTCAGAGCTTCTTAAGTATCTGACAAGTATACTGACAGCAACAGCAAACATCAAATAGCCCAAACTTATTGTCCAGCTTTGCAGCAGTAAGGACTAGCCCTCTTCTAGGATGCATTAGCACCATGAAGGGCCAGGAAGAGGAGCTGGTAGCATTCCTGTCTCACTCCTTCTAGTATGTGAGGAAAGCTTGCTGATAAGTGCAATGCTGAGCCTGACTCTCAGCCCATGGAAAGCTGCAATGGGTGAATGATGTATGGAGAAAACCTAAGCCATCTGACTGTGGAGATCCTTTAGTTATCGCCCCCATCATACTGACAAGCACACAGCTTTCAACTTCCCAGAGGGTGATGTGCACTATCTGGCTTTCCTTGCGTAAGGGGCCAGCAGCTCTGTGTACTCCACTCGCTTTGAAGAGATCTGCTCTGGAAGTGAGGACAAAGCCTTCCTGACAGACCAAGGCATTGCTTGCACCTTTGGCCCTCTCCTCTTGCCCAGGCTGGGCTCAGAGCAGGAGTGACATACTCACTACACAGAGAAAACTTCTGCACCACCACTCAAACCAGCGTTTGGCAAGTGAGATCAAGACCCTAGGATTGGTGAAGGGAAGGCTATAGAGACTAGATAACGCCTGCTTGTGTCGGGAAGGCCATGGGGAAAAGGAGCAGAGCCAATTAGACTCACCAGTCAATGAAGGAGGAGTAATGGGATTAAGATACAGCAGGGAGAATTCAGGTTAGATATAAGGGAGAAGGCTATCACGAGAGGAGCGGACTGGGCCATCGAATGAGCTGCCAAAGGAATCGTCATCACCAACACAGACACAGCAGAGAGCAGACACAAGTCTGCAGGAGGAGCAGATGCCTGACTGCTGCTCAGCCCAGAGCTGTGGTAGGTGGGTGTCTGTGTGCCGGGGAGATAGGACGACTCCACTATGGAGAGGCTGTGCTGCCAGAGCAGGGACAGACCATCTCTGGGTATCTGTGCTAGTAACCTGTGTCATAAGAATTGCTTTTGCCCAGGGCACTACAGTTCCTCAACAACACTCAGGAGGAAACTTATACACAAACTTTGCTGGTGGTGTCCAATGCCAGGAGAGGGAAGGGAGAGCCCAGTTTTCTGCTCTGAACTTCCCTGCCTAGCTAGACATGCCAGGAAGAACCCCAGTTTCAGTCTGTCCTCTTCAGCTCTACCACCTCTCTGCCAAGCCAGCAGGCAGCTCCTGTTCCTGCTGCCCAGTCCTGCTCCTTTACCATGTCCATGTGTGTCATCCCCCTTTCCTGAGCCTGAGGCAGGGCACGAATATCTTTACCCTTGCGAGAATGGAGTAGTTGGACCAGAGGGGCAGTTCCACCAGCAGTAGTGGGGTAGCAGGGCCAAGAATATGAGGAAGGGGATCTCCAAGAAATCCTAGCATCCAGCAGGAAGCATCAGCTAGAGAGGTCCCACTTCTCAGGGTACTGAGGGTCTGGGACAGCCACAGACAGTGGCACTGGGACTATGCCTGGGACCTGGCTGCAGCTGGCACCAGGTACAATGGGGAAGGTGTTCAGTAACAGGAAGACTGTATGGATCCTGCTGGTGAGAGCAGCAGCCATGCCTTGAAGACCCATGTGTTCACCTGGACAGACCACCTCCGGAATAAGATTTCACAGGAGAAAATGGGGCAGAGGAACAAGGTGAGGCATTCTCATGGAAAGCCCCAGAAAGAGCCAAGGACACCTGCCTGCAACTCTGCTGCACTTGCTAAAGGATAGGGAGCCCAGAGACCCTGCTAATCTGTCCCTATTCTGAAGACTGTCTTTGCCCCAGGGAGCTAAAAGCCCTGCCAAATCTTAGATAAATCCATCTGTCCAAGGCACCTTGGATGCTGGAGACAGAAAGAGGAACCATCACAGCCTAATTTAAGCAATGTGTAGGAGATTTCAATGAGAATATGTCAGCAAGGACAAGGTGACCACATTCCTCACTAATGACCCATTGCAGCTCCACTGTCTCAATTCACTGGGACGTACAAGAAACGCACCATTATCTCCCCAGAGTCACGTGGACACTCATCATTGGCCTTGGCTTACATTAAGCCCTTGGAGAGAGAAGCACAAATGCACAGCAAGCCAAATGTCATTACTGAGCAAGGAAATCCCAGGGTTGCTTTCACCCGGTTTGAAACTGTGCCAAAAATGATGAGAACAAAACGCAGAGAGGGATGTGCCCACACCAGAGATCTTATGCTTCTCTGGCCTCCCAGGGACCCTCTTTTAGCCAACATCTAAGTCTAGGGCAAGAAAGGGCAGATGACAAGACAGAATCGTAACAGAGTGAGATTTTAAGGGACTTTCTGTTCAAACTGCTGTTCTCCAAACTCCTGTCTGGAGTCTAGCACTTAGGATCAAGGAGGACAAGCTGACTTGAAGGGCAAGAGACACTGACCAGGATACACAGGGCACACAAAGAGCAGAACAGACTGCTCTGGGGGAAAAGACAAGCAGAGCCCTACAACACCTGCAGGTGCTGACCGCTCTAGGCTTGCCAGCAAGAGGACTGATGTGGTGCATGGGTGCATTTGCAGCCTCCTCAAGACCTGGGAGGCGAAGTAATACAGCAGCGTGATGAGAGAAACAGAGTCCTCATTAATAGCTGGCAGGAGGAAGACAGGCTGGACTAAATACAGTGCCTCACTGTTTGCTGTTATATCTCGCCTTTCTGCGATGGATGTGGAGGCAGACATCAAGCTCAAATGCCCAGGTGCTAAAGGACTTACCCTTGTCACCCAAGACCTGCTGCTTTTAGCTGTTTGCCCCAGCTGATGAGGGAAGTGTGGTGAGGTTTAAAAGCAGTGCTGTTTGGAGAAATCACTGGCTGATTTGGCATGCGCTCCCCCAAAGAGCTGACTGAAAAGGAGACAGCTTTTCTGAGAAAAAGCTGGGTGTCTGCATGCTGCAGCCACTGATGAAGCTTCAGTGACATGAATGCTCCTTGCCCAACGTCACCAAGATCCCTTCCGACAGGATAGAAGGGGCAGCACAAAGCTCAGAGCAACCTGCGCTGACAAGAGCAAGGCAGAAAAACCCAGGGGCTAATGGGCTACACAGAAGTCACCTCACTTCTCACAGCCTGACACCTCCCTGCAAAAACCTCTGCAGTGCAAACTGCTCAGTTTTAAGCAGGTTCCCCTCTAACACATCCCTTGCCTCTGTTCCAGAAAGCATCACTCATGGAAGATGCCTCCTGCATGGGTCCTGCACCCATAGTGGGGTCCCACAGAAAGGGAATCCTTTTGCTCCTCATTTCCCCAGCCCAGGTTCTCAATGCTCCTGCATGCTTTTGCATTTCTCTCTCCTAGCCCCTCAGAGCTCTCTCCCAAAACCAGGCTGTCAGGATCCTGCAGCTCAGAGTCCACAGCCAGAGCCCAGCTGGATCTCATGCAAAATTCACTCATGCAGAGATGCACCAACCTGCTGCTCCATTATCAATAGGTGAACTGCAGCTGAACCTACCAGAGCCTTCCTTGATGCTTGTCTGAACCAATTAGGACTCAATTCAAAGCCAGGAAGGGTCCCCAGCTACTTGACGTGCCACCTGATACCATGATGCCTGTCCCAGTGCCATCCTCTTCCCCTTCCTCAGCTCACCAGGGGCCTACCGTTTTCTCTTTCCAGCTGAGCCCTCCTCCAGCAAACACATCAGTAGCGCTGCAGATCTCTGCTCCATCTGGGTTTGCACATTCATCCCTTCCCCGGTGCTGCGTGCCCAAACAGAAAACCCTTTACCTAAGGGATGCTGACTCAGAGCTGATATGCTGAACCTTCCTGAGGAGCCTGGGATCCTCTGGAGGTGATGCCATTCCCAGCAGTGAGAACAGAGTAACAGTCGGAGCGTGGTCTAAAAAAAAAAATGGGGAGGGTGGGGAACAGTTGGGGGGAAGGGGAAGAGCTGGATTCATGGCTTTCAGCCTTTGCTTTAACCTGCCGCTCCATCCACGTGCCTGGATGCCCCAGACCTTCCGTTACAGGCAGTTACACCCTGCTCCCAAGGGGCCCATTCCCCTCCACACTGCAAGGGGTCTTGCTCCAGCATGGGAAGCAGAGTGGGCAGAGGTGCAGCAAGGTGCTTTCTGATGGCTGCTGGTTCCTCGGAGCATGAGCCAGCCTGGAGCCAGGGCCGGGAGCCAAAAACCACCCCCTCCCTGCATCAGGCCTATCTTTTTATTCTCCCCTTTGGATCTTGATGCCATGAATTACGGTTTTGGGGTTGGTTTGGTTGAATTATTTTTTTTTTTTTGCATGTGGTGGTTGGTCTAGAGTTCTGTGCCATGTCAGGGGAGCATCAGCACCCACCCCTCTGGGAGGTCAGAGCCACACTGTGGGGAGCTTTCGCTGGCTGATGGAGCAAGATGCCATGTCCACTCCATCCTGATGTCCTCTTAGGCTGTCCCCCCTGTGCTCCTCTCCCCAAATCCTGTGCTGGCTTGGGCCAGGCAACGGACAATGAGATCTCACCACCCTCTGCTTTCACAGTGAGGTCTCCACACAGGACCCGTTGCGATGGAGGTGACGGTGGTCGTGGTTCAGGCAGCCTTCGTTGCGGTGTACAATGAGAACGGGGAAGTAGAGGGCATCCTGGTAAGGAGGGGGATCTTCCTCCTCCACAGTCACCTGGCTGGAGAGACGTGTCTGCTCAGTGGGGCAGCTCTGCTCGTTCAGGCTCCCACTCCGGCTCTGCCAGAGGCAGCTGCGTCGTGAGCCGTACAGGCGGCCCAGAGAAAAGCGGCTGCTGCTGAAGGGAATCCTGGGACTGCCATTGCAGATGCTCAGAGCACTGCGGGAGAAGATGGAGGAGCTGCTTATAGTCCTGTGGCATCGCTCGCAGTTCTGCCGGTAGCCCCCGTACCGGCAAGCAGAGTAGCTGGTGCAGCCAGAGAGCCCCACCAAGTCCATCAGGACCGCTTCCGAATAGCTGGGCACCAGCTGCTGGTTGGATCGTATGTGCCACTCCAGCTCAGTGCTGTCCACCGTGTTGACGCGGGGCATCCTCCGGCAGAAGGTGCGCTCCTCGGCCGGTGTCACTGCCACGTAGTCGAACCCAAAGAGTTTCTCCACGTGGTAATGGACATAGGAGGTGCGGTACTCATTTAGCACCCTCAGGGGCCAGGACAGGGTTAGCAGAGCTGCCACCCAGAAGACATAGTGAGATACATACCAAGGCAGGTTGTCTGGGTCGGAAAAGGCCACCATGTATTCCTTGAAGTCCACATTTTTGAGGTGCATCCCCTCCCTGGCCTCCATGTAGTCATCTAGGCCCTCATTCTCCGTGAAGAAGCGGGCCCGCTGGGTCAGATAGGAGTTCTCTGACTCCACGTTGGCAAAGCTGAAACACTTGGTGAAGCGGAGCCGCGTGGCGGGGTAGCTCTCCAGGTCAATGAGGTCCTTGGAGATATCCTTAACTCCACAATTGGAATAATCAAATTCAGCCTCTGCCACGTGGGTGTTGACCCGCTCATGATACACTTGGGTGGTGGTGTAGGCATCCCCGTTGCGGTAGCGGGTAACCTGCCGGGTCCTGCGGACATAGTGGTAGCTGATGGCCTTCCACCAGATGCAGGGAGTCGCCTGCTGCATCCGCTGCACACGCTCGTGCACACTCTCCACGTCTACTTTGTATTGCAGCTCGTTGCGGGTGTAGCAGTGCCAGCACTCCACCAGGTACACCACGTAGAGCATCACCAGGAAAGCCAAGGGGATGTAGACGTAGCCGTTGGAACAGGGGCTGTCGTGGTACATCATGGACTTGCCTTTGTAAGCGCTGTCAAAGGTCAGCCGGGTCACCTTGGTGACATGGCACCATGTCATGGCTCCCATGCAGCCGTACATGAGGAGGGACAGCAGCAGGCATTTCCAGTGGGACTCTCGGCACAGAGACTTGCTGAGAGACTGCTTCACTGGCCGCTGCTGCTCCGGTGGACCGGGAAGAAGGGGAGAAAAAACAAGAGAGGAGTCAGTAGACTGCAGGAGCAGAGGGAAGGGGAGAAGGCAGAAGGGTGCTGTGGTAGCACCTATAGCTCTGTGGAGACAAAACAGCAGATGCCTGGGGCTCCCAGCCTCAGCGGGCAGGCCAGAGGCCGGGATCTCTCCCAGGATGACAATCACACAGTGTGGGCAACTGTCACCCCCACTTCCCTTCACGGTGCTCTGCCCCTCCTTGGGAGACATCCCAGCTGGATGTGAAGAAGAGTGGCAGAGGACAACTCTGCCAGCCACACCCCGAGCATTCCCCTTCTTCAGGGGAGAGTAATCCCTACCACTGCCACATCCTGGGGAGGGGTAATGAAGCATAATAAGACAGAGGCTCCCTCACATACCTCAGCTTCTGCACCCATCCCACCAGTGCAGGCAGCTCTAACTGATGGGTCGTCCCACCTGAATCCCTCCCCACAGCTCATCCCAGTGCACCTCTCACTGCTCACACATCAGTCGCTCCCCTCTTCCAAGTAACGAGCACCAGCAATATTCCAATTTCTCCCACCAGGGCAGCACAAGCTGCTTGGGGTGCCTGTAAGGTGGAGAAACAGACCTTCTGCAGCTGGGAATGTCTCTGTTTGGTAATGGCGATGGCAATTCCCACCACAACACTTGGCAGCCTAAGGGGCTCTGAAATGCTTTTCAAGTATAAATCACAACAACGGGAAAGTACTTTTCCACAACTGAAATGCAGCCACCTCTGGCAGGAGAGAAAGAAAATATGGAATAACATCCTAAAAAGTGTTCAGGCTGGAAGAGCATCCCACCAATCTGCAGCAGCAGGGAGGGCAAGAGGTCACTCATAGCTGCTAGCAAATGTCCCTGCTTGCACTGGGATTCAGCTGTGACGGCCCACTCTTCCAGAAAAAAACCGCTCTCAGGTCTTTCATGGTGAGGAAAGGGCAGAACTTCAAAAACAAGACTTTTTAAAGGGACTGCACTGGTGCTTTTACCAGAGGAACAGTGCAGGGTTTCACAGAGATCCATGAAAAAAACCCTGGTTAAGGAAACTTCTGTCACTCTGCAACACTCTGCAGTCTCAAGTATTGATCCACCTTGGTCTGTGAGACCTAACATTATCCCACCCAAAGAAAGATTATTTGCTTTCTTACACTTCATCCAGCAGTCTCCAAATGTGCAACCTGAGAGAGGGAGGCAAGAACCGCATCACTGTGCAGATGCCATGAAACTTACTAAGAGGCTTCCAGCTTTGTTCTCCCTCCCCACCTGCACGGAGCACTGCTCTTGAGCTCACCTCTGCCATGGCAGGGGCTAATGCCAGCTGTAATGACACCACTCATGGCACTGAAGTCCAAGCCTGGCTCCATTTTTCTCCATTCCTGAGCACACTGGGCTGGACAGGTTTCTCACCCACGGATCTCAAAGAGCTGAATGGGCTCACACTGCTAGAAAGCAGGAGGGGCACTTCCACTCTGGCATGAAAAGGAAAATTAAAGCAAGAACCAGAGGTCACAAGGCCACTGGCAGGTCTAGGGACAGATTTGCACCTCTTCTTTCCTTTAAGAAATGTGTCGTGCTCTCCTGAAGAGTCCCTCAGTGCTGGCTTGGCCCCCTAGAGTCCCAGAGGCTTATCTTTCCTCCCCACACCTTGTCAAACCCTGGTCCACCCCATGCCAGTGGGTCTTCTGCCACCGCACTCAGCAGGGCTGGATCCAGCCCAAATCTCCAACAGAAGTTTCTCTCCCAGAAGCAGGGAACTTCCCTGCCTGCCCACCCCAGCAGCCAGCCTGCACATCCAGAGGGACCACTGGTGGCAAGGGGAATGGTGGTACATCCCACTGGCAGTCCCAAGCATCAGCAGCACTGAGCTCCCCTCTCTGGAGTCACCGGCTGACAGGAAGAGCTGGAGACAGACACCGAGCCCAGGGCTGGCAGGTGGGGCAGTGCCAGCCTTCAGGTAACACGGAGAGGTGCAGGGTGGCTCTGCTCGGCAGCACCAGCATGGACACACGTGCAGCCAAGTCTTCACATTGCAACCCACCACTGCAGCAGCCTCATGGTCATGGGACAAGAAGGGAACCCTAGGTAAGAGAAAAGGGAGCGAGGAGAGGAAGGGGGAGCCATTCAGGAGGCAAAGCCTCCTGAGCTGTGCCCTCCCTCCTGAGGTCCACACTGCAGTTATAAGAGCCTGCTCAGATCCCTCTGTCTTTGCTCAGCTGCAGCATGACACTCCCATGCCGGAATGCTGTACCACTACCCAGGCAGATGAAGGTTTCCTCTCCCACTGCTGCCTTCCACGTTGCAGATCTTCCCTGCCAGCAGCAGCACTGATTGTGAGGATCTAAGGGAGCTGCTCAGCCAAAGAAGGAGCATGGGGAGGGTCTGAACAGGAGCCCTGGGGAGATGCAAGGTACATACTAAACTCAGGGTGTCTGTGGGGTAAGAAGGCTGAGAAACAGCACCTTGTTCAGGAGGCAGATCTGCAAACAGAGCACAGGGAAAAAAGCAAAGCATCCAGCTCACTCATTTGCCAAGCTGGGGAATGGGCACAAACAAAAAAGTCTTCGGAGATGTCTGCCTCAGAAAAGCAAATTTCACCTCCCAGTCACTCCCCAGACCTTCATATTCCGCACTGCCTGTGTCGCAGGAGAAGGGAGATGCTGGCTGTCACCCTGAGGAGATGCAGGCAAGCCCCACTGCGGTTACCTATCCAGGGCAGGGAGCACGATGCAGCCCAGGCTTGGTTCCAGGAACTGTGTTAGCAGGGCTCTAGTCCATGCATTAGTCTCCTCCTAGGACTACGCAGCATTTAGATACTGCAGCGCTTTTACAGGGTCACAGTAACCCCTGCTGTAAACTGTTTACAACCCAGTTTTGTCTTAGGCTTTTGAGGTAAAACACATACACCTCGGCAGCACTGGTGGGGTTTCCGAAAGCTGATCAAGTGCCTATGACGGGATACAACCACAGCAGAGACGGAGGAGGAGCCAGCTGCAGAGTCTAATCCCAGTAGGAACTGCAGCATCCCTGCTCCTCTCCCAGGCTGCAAAGGGCTCACAGGAGCAAACAACCAGCTCCACGGCTTCCCCCCGCAGAAGCAGCTGAATAAGGTTGTCTCCTTGAGCTATTAACCAGCCTTGGGTAAGTCCAGCATAGCAAACAAGCAGATGAAAAAGCTGGGGAAAGGGAAATCTGTCCCAGAACAGTGTCACTGGGAGGAGAGCAGTCTCTGATATAAATGCCATCGTCATCTGCCCGCTGCAGTCTGATGGAATGAGGCAAAATACTTGCCCTACTTCACTGCAAACAGGGTTTCCCTCCATCACCAGGAGCCTCCCTCATGGCTCAGGCTCAAGCACTGGAGAACGATAAGCAAATCCGCTATTGCAGGTGCACAGAAACATCTCTCCAGTGCTAGAGGGCAGAACTGGTCTGGCCAAGGCTTGGTTGACCCCTTTGGGGGATCCCAGTGCCTCAGTTCACCACACAGAACAGACAAGGCAACTCTTACCAGGCACCTGGGTGCTGACTGTAACACATGTTGGAAAAGGCAAGAGGTGGGCTGCTGCTACAGCCTCCCCTGCCTCGTACATGGCATTTGTCTCTGAGGTGGCAATGTCTCCCTGACATTGCCCCTGAGATGAACAGAGATGGAGTCCCACAGCTGACATTGCTGCTCTGGGATGCATGGGGAGGGATGGAGGGGATGACTTACAACCAGCCGTGAAACAAAAGGAGATTCCCACAACGTACAGGGCAGAGGCAATAAAAGTGGGAGGGGAGGGGTCCTCTTCTAAAAAAAGCCTTGAGGAGACAAACATGCCCAGCACCCCAGTGGCTAAGCACATGGGCCAAAAAACCTTAATCACCCCTGCAACTTTGAACACTAAACAACTTCAGAAATCCTTCAAGCTCTTCAAGCTCCTCTCTGTAACAGTTCAGCCCTGGCCCCATCCACTGTCCCCCTGTTTAACAAGTGTTTTCATGTCATCACCTCCCATCCTCTTACCTGTCTCTCCCTGTAAAGACCTGCCTTAAATCTCTGATTCACCCCCAGAGCTAAATTGTCACTTTACAAGACCCCCTGGGGTTCAGAGGGTTAGGTGTTCTAGAGACAGCCCTCTACAGGACTGAAAAAAAAATCAAAAAAGCCCCAGAGCAGCAGCCTGAAGGCCCAAGTAGCTCCTGAGTGCCAGGCAGTGGCAGCAGCTTGCAGGTGACTCCAGTGGGACTCTTGAGCATCAGTTTCCATGGCTGTTCCCTACCATTCACTTACGTCATGCAAGAAATTAATAAGATCCCTTTGACTTCAAATCCCCAGAATAAGAGAGGCAGGGAAAATCCAGTCATTTCTAGGAATTGCCACTGTCTTCCAAGGCCCTGGACAGACATTGGCAACTCCTGGCCAGGATGGTCCAAGCAAACACTCACATCACACACCCTATGCCTACAGCCCAGATTCAGGAGCTACCTGAGGTGGTTCAAGACGAGGCTGGCAGCATTGCCAGCTGCAGAGGAAAGAGGAAGGCTGAGCATCTAGGAGCCAGGGAACTCTGCCAGCAGTCAGATCCTGCAGCGATACCAAGTTCTCCATTTTACACAGCAACTTGGAGGAGGACTGGTCCCTTCCATCAGATCCCACCTGAGCAGCAGGACGAGGACATTTTTTCGCTTGTTCCCAGGCTGAAGAGCTTTTCCCTTGGTATTCCCTACCCTCCAAGCATGCGTTGCTGATTGAAATTCAGCTAACCACCATTAAGTGTATGTGTAGGCATGTAATGCCAAGAGGAAACATGGGCTCAGTCAGCTCTGGCCAGTAGTTCTTGCTACTTGCCTTTCTGGGACAGAGAAGCACCTGAAGCCCTGCCTGGCTTCTAGACACAGCAACCTGAGATATGTTAACACGAGGTACCTTCAAAGAGGACAGAGCACATTTCCCATTTTCCAATCCCCAGACATCTCCTCTGGCTCCCCACCTGCCCTGGCCAACAGATCCTGACATGTGGGATTCAGCCACATTGCTGGGATGCTCAGCAATATTGGCACCAACAGTTGGTTCTGATGGAAATGAGGACATCACTACAGCCTGTCCTTCTCCCCTCCCGGTATTTCTGAAGACAAGAGGATTGCCCTAGGTCAGTCCATGAATCCAGGCTCCCCTTCCCACTAAAGTGATTCATTGCATCACAAGACACCAGTAAGCACGGCACCATGAGGAGAGACTGCAGCTTTCCTGTCCTGCACCAGCTGCTTCATGCAAGTCTGTGACAGCTTCTGGCCACAGGAAGGATGCCCTTAGCCTAAAAAGTGCAGGTCATGACCTGTACCCCTTCTGCCTACTCTCATGGTGTAAGATTACACTGACACCCTAGTTGGCAGCCACAGCAGAGCAATCAAAGCCAAGACAATCTTCTTGTAATCCCTGCAAACAAGGGGACACCACAGGTGAGGGAAACTCACCTGGATGCTGCCCCTGCTACACTTCTTTCATCCAAAGTGGCTCTTGAACTGGCACCTCTGAAAAGCCACTGTGCTGTCTTGAAAGTAGCACCAGCACTGGCAGAGCACTGGCAGTAAGAGACCATGTCACAGCACGGCACAAGCATGTCCTCATGCTAAAAAGGGACCTCATAGTTTAGCTACCTTGGTCAGGATCTGTTTGGAGAGCTGAGCTGAGGGCATCAGGAGTTGTTTAATGGAAGCAGGAAGAGAGGAACAGACACAGAGCAGAGTACACAGTATTTGTACAGCTTCCCAGTCCTTGAACTTCAGCATTCCTCTCCTGCAATTATTTATATCTAAATATAAGCTGTATATATAGAATAACAGTGCATGAGCATGCATGTTCTGCCTAAGCCAAGGAGACAGAGAATACCAGGATTATGCAGCACTCACTAATTGCAGCTCCTCAGCAGCAGAGGACAAGTGATGCACCAGCTCCTGAGCACCCCACAAGCTGCCCTTTGAGCTGTGGTCTCACCAGAGAGGACAACCCACCACACCAGGAGAACGCTGTCCTTCCTACTGCCCAGCTGACTTCCATGGGTCACCAGCCCCATGGCATAAGGTGCTTCTCACTAGTCGGTGCAGTTGCTTTCTCTCCTCTTGGGAAGCCCAAGCTGCAAGCAGGATCTGTGGAGGCAGACAAAGGGGCTGGCACACCTGCCTATCGGTACTGCTCCCTAGGCACAGGGCACCCTGCTCTTGAGCATTTCTGGGATCTGCTGCCTGGACTCCAGAAAAGTCTCTCCAAAAAGGGAAGACTGCAGTACACGTGGAGGCAAAGCTGTGCTGGTACCTGGCCTGCCCTAGTCTGCACCTTCCACTCTCCTCAGCCAACCTCCAGCTGGGAGCAGCGACCAGCAACAGCCTCTGGCGCTGGGTCCCCAAGCCCTCTCCCGTGCTATCCACCGCGTCTTCCCTCGCAGTGACCTAGGCAGCTGTGCCATCTCCTGGATGCCCCCAGAAGCCAGAGCGCAGCAAGGCGGGGGTCTCCACTTCCATTCCTCCCAGGCATAACAACCTCTGCCCGTGGCAGTAAGACCAAGCGGCGCCCCGCGCCTCTCTTCTGCGATTTTCTCCCTTCCTCCTCCACCCTGGCCACTCCGGCTCCGGCCCCCGCTGCGGACGGCGTTGGCTGCTGCGTCCCTTCCAGCCCCGGCGGCTCCGCGGCGATCCCCAGGTGACAGGCGAGCGATGGAGAAGCGAAGCGCCAGGGCAGTCCACGCGCGGCGGGGACCGACGGGTGGGTTTCCTGGCCTACCCACCGCCCCCCCTGCCGGCCCGCACCGCAGCCCCGGGGCCGGAGCGGGGCGAGGGGCTCCCGGAGAGGGGGTCCGTACCTGTGCGGGCAAAGCCCGGCCCGGCCCGCGGCGGAGCGGTCAATGAACGCGCCATGCAAAGCGGGCGGGGAGAGAGGGTGGTTGGGGTCAGCCCCGGGCGGGGGGCGGCCGCTCTCCTCACCTCCTCTCGGGCCCCCTCCGCCTCCTCCTCCGGAGGCACCGGCGTGCTGCTGCCTCCTTCGTTGGCGGCGGCCGCCGAGGCCGGGGGGGACATGGCGGCGGGGGCGCCCCGCTGGCGGTGCCTGCGGGCTGGGCAGCCGCATTATCCCGCCCGCCGCCGGGCGCTGCCTCGCCGGTCGCCGGGCGGGCGGCGGGGCGGCGCGGCGGGCGGGCGGCGCGGCGGCATCGCCCCCAGCCGCGGCTCGGCGGCAGCGCTGGCCGCCCGCCGGCCCCGGCCCCGCTGCAGCGCAGCGCCGCTACACGCGGCGGAGGGCGGGCAGAGCCGCGGTGGGAGGGCCGCGGCGGAGGCGGGGGGGCCGGGACGAGAATGGGATGGGATGGGATGGGATGGGATCGGATCGGATCGGGGCGCGGCGGGACCCGCGCCCGCCCGAGCGGGGCGGCGGATGACCTTGAGGCGCCGGCCGGCAGCAGAGAGGGAGGCAGGGAGGGAGGCAGGCAAGGAGCAGGCAGGTAGGGAGGGAGCCCAGCGCAGCCTCCCCTCCCGAGCGTCACCGAGAGTGGAGCCGCCGCCGGGCGCGGCGGGGGAGGGCTCCCGCTCCCAGCCCTGCCGAGGGGGCGTCAGGCGGTCCAGGCGGGCTTCGGTCCCAGCCGGGCTGCTGATGGGGAGGTGAGGGGTCCCGTGGGTTTTCCTCCCCTCGGGACGAAGCAGGAGAACCAAGAGCACTTTGCGTGAACTCCGTCTGTTTTTCTAATATATGGGCATCCCAGCTGGTCGGGGGAGGGGGGTAGGGGTGACCATCAGTGCTAATGCTAGCACTCAGGGAAAACCTTAGGTTGGGCAGCATCTTCACTGCTATGATCTCCATCAGGCCCAAGGATACTCAGCTAGCTATTGCAGAGCCAACTGCAGTGTATTTCACACACAAAGCTAACTGGCTTGGTTGCAGGGATGAGTGTGAAAGTCACTTTAGACCTTCAATCTAAACACACAGGGGACACACATACAGAGCTCGGGAAGGGTTCCGACTTGTTCAAGTCCAGATATTGCAAGTAGAGTCCAGTTTCCTTGACAGTCAGGAAATAGGTGTCTCTGTCAGTGCTTCCCCAGTTCCAAACTGGGGAGAAGCATAAGCTGCAGAATTTGCTGGAAACTGCTTCACTTTTTCTGAGCTCTGAGGCTCAGCCTTGGCAATGGGATGATTGGCATGCTCTTGCCCACTGTTGTCTGGGGTGAGGAAGGAACAGTCCATAGGCTTGATAGTCTCACTCAAGGAGATGCATCTGAGGGGAATTGCCAAACCCTGCTTCTTATGGGAATAGGTGTGATGGCCGGGGGTGCTGCTGAAGGAGCTCATCTTCAGAAGAGGCTGGGGATGCATTTCCTCTCGCCTTTCCCCTGTTTCCATGGGAACAGCAGCAAGCAGGAGCAGCTTGCTTGGAATTTCACTGCCTACCGCTCAGACACCCCCTGCCCAATCTTCCCAGCAGACTTTGGCTCTGGAGGGTTTCAGACCCATCCTCACCTGATGGATCCCATGCCTCCAAGGAGAGCTCACCGGTGCGTTTGTGTTGTGGCAGTGCAAAGCAAAGAGGCACAAGCCCAGAGCTGTCAGGGTTCCTGTAGCAGCACTGAATGCTATTCCACGCACACTAATAGACAGTTGTAAATAATATGCATTCCTATATGCATTTCTGCTTTTTATAGTGCTAGGGACTTCTGTAGCACGTGACCTCAGCTAGACCAAAAGGCGCCTGGGGGATGATCACTCTCCAGCAACAGCACAGATTTTCTCTCAAAAATGTGAATATTGCACAAAAAGAGCAAAGCAGGAGGTTGAGGGAGAGAAAAGGTAATACGAGTTTATGTCTTTGCTTTTAATAGTCCATGGTGTCTTTTTCTTCAGGGAATTCATCTATTCACTTTTGAATCTGTTTTGATTTTAGACTTGTAGATGCTCCATGCATTCTGTGGCAAGGAATATCACAGCACACCCACAGACTCAAGGAGCAGCTTCCTTTGGTGTGCTTGTTATCCACTAGGATTAACTCTTGGGAAGTGGGCTGCTGCCACCCTTATGGAGCCACACACACAGAGCCCTGCAATTTGTCCTCCACTGGTGGAGTCAGTGGCTACCGGTTATTCAGAGATAGAGTTTTTCGTATCAGGCATCTTTGATACTGATCCGGGCAGCATGTCTTGGAGACAACACTGTCAAGCACATCACCAGCTATGCTATTTTTGAGCTGAGGTGTCACGAAGAGGTCGTGTATCCTGCTCTATCTGAAGTTGTACAAGCCACTTCAGCCACTTTCTATGGGAAACTGGCAGGTTTCAACCCTCATATAGGAACCCAAAGGCATGGCTGATAATGTGTTACAAAGGGCACAAAACTCACCAGGAATGGGAGAAATAAGGGTACATGATGCTTAGGCCTTTGGGAAACTGAAACAAGACAGCCAACATCCAAGTTTGTGTTCTGTGTTACCAGCACAGGGAGAACCCAGCAGTCCTAATTGCAACAGACAGCCCTATCCATTCAACCCTCCTTCTCTTGGGGGCAAGAGAGAAAAATAAGGGAGATTTCTCTCCAGTTATTCCTGTAGGGTTCAGGATGCTCTACTGGAAAATCATGTTGGAGAGCGGGACATTTGTGGGATGGAGGCATTTCTGATGTAACAAAATGGTTGAAAGAAGCATGGAGCCTTTTAAGAAGACACAGCAACTGGAGTAGAGGTGGTGCCCTTACCACAATATCAATAGGTTTGTTCTCCAGATACCCTGTAACTACCACCCTGCAGAGACATTCATATCTGTTCCAAGCAGACATAAAGCATGATGTCATATTAGCAGTATTTGTTCACTTTCCATAATGCATCAAACCAGAAAAGGTCTCACTCTTCTGTCTCTGGTAGCTACAGAAAATAGCCTTTTAGTTTCCGCTTAAATATGTTATTAGTTTGTACCCATGCAGCAAATTTGCATTTAATTTCTAGAAAAACTTTGACAGAGGCTGCATTTTAAACCAGATGGCCACAGACACCTATTCTTATGCTGGTATTTGTAGCTTAAATATAAAAATGGATTTTGCAGCATCATATATATTGTATTTAGCTTTATTTTGTCCAATAGGCCAAGAGTGATCAAAACTCAGTCTTTTGTTCCAAAGCAATCAATGATTCCTAGTGGCGTGCTGCTTTTTGTCTCTTAGGAAGATATGTTGCAGAGAATCCCCTTGTGCTAGGATGCAGGATTTTCTAATGCCTGTTTGATTTAAAAATTTCACGGATACTTTGCACTGGCTGCCTGAGCCTTCCAGAATGTGTCACTCCAATTAAATTGCTTCTTATTAATGCAACAAGGTGAGTGTTGATGAATGAACATGCTTCTTGCTCCAGTTAACATCCCTTTGCCACTTCTGGTCAGTGGTGTTGACTGTGTGGGTGCCATCCACCTCTGCAATCTTTGTCCTCAAGAAAATATGTACCATTAGTTATGTTTTCGTCTGCTACACTCAGACTTCATGTCTGCTGGGAGGAGATCCAGGTGTGCCTTTTTTGTTGTGGGAAGGAAACCCGCAAGGGTCATTAATTTGTGACTGGGGAGCTAGTTTGTGTTTACATCACTAACAGGGGTACACATCACGACTGCGGTCCACAAACACTCAAAGTCTTAAACCTTATGAAGGACGTGGGTTTATAGCTGCTGCTCTGAGGTGCATTTCACAGCATAGAATTGCTGTCATTGAAAACTCTTTGATCCCTGCTCTGATTCTTCCTGTTCCAACAGGCTGCCTGTGTGCAGTTTCCTTATTTTCCATCCAGCCCCATGAGAGTCTATTTTGTCATCATCACAATTATTTGTGAGGCTCTGCAGAGGTTTCTGGGTCAGGTTAAATCACTTTCCTCTCTGCAGTAGCCCAGCAGGATACCCAGGGCCCTCCCTCACATTCCCCCTAGAAATGAAAAGCGGATTCAGTGCTGCCCAGATGCTATTTGACAGTCCTCAGGACATTTTGTCCAATATAACTCCAGAGCAGCAGCAACCACCCCAAGTTCCTGGAAACTGAGCCAAATCCTCCCCTGGCAAATGTTTTGTTCTGACTTAGATTTTTGGCCCATTACCCCCAGAAAGGAGTGAACCACAGAAACTAGTCGCTCAGAGAATCTAGTCTATCCCTAGTTACGGGCTGGGAGTCACCTACCTAAAAGTAGAAAGCAGGTTTCTGTTGCAATTCACTTTCTCCACACTGAGCAGTTGGAGTTGACATACCCTGATCTGGAGAAGCATTCCTTCTCCATCCAGCTCTCCCCATGGACCTAGGCAGGCAGGGGAGATGAGGCTGTCCTAGGGAAGGGGCTAAAAGCCCAATGCATGACTGTCTGCACTGCTTAAGGGCCATTGCTTAGGCCGGGTCTGTTAGTGAGGCCAAGGTCCTGGGGAGTGGCTGCAATCCCATTTTCTGTGTGCCCATCACCTGGGCAACACAGATTTGTTCATCACTTATTCATGGTGTCAGAGCTTCTCTGTCCCATGGGGCGGCCACCTGCTCCCGCTCAGCACCTGAATATTTCAAACAGCTTGGTCACCCCTCCCTCCCCTCTCTGCCACCCTGAGCCAGCCACCCTGCTCACTCCTCTCTCCTAGCTCCTGCCTGGGCTCCTCACTTGCTTTCAGTAGTGTGGCTCCACCAGGCCTGTTCCCAAATCACTCTGATGCAAGTGTGGAGAGACACAAGCTCTAATTCAGTCCGGCAGCCAGGAGGTTTAACTCTCCCGAGAGCAGAGCCGAGCTTGCATGAGTAATACCTCTGGCAGCATCGTGCAGCTTGCTAGGGACCAGCAGAGTTGGAGCACTGTTAAGAGGCAAGGACTAGGCTAGTGGGGGTGCAGGGCTGTCATGAGGGTCTGAGGTGAAGCAGGAAGCAACTCGAGCAGAATCAGTTCAAAAAATGAAAGTTAACCTATCCTCCCTTCTCATGGCCATCAGGTCCAGTGTGTCGATGCTGAAGCCCAGGATGCGGCATTGGCAGCATCTGTCCTATGCTCTCTGGCAAGGTGAGCTGAGGGATGGTTGGGTGAGTTGAGGTTTGTGTTTTGTCTTGGATAGTCTCTGCCAGATGAACTGTGCTTAGAGAGTCATGAATAAATGATAGCCCAGCAATGGAGCACTGCCTTCCATGGCTATTCCATGGGGAGGGAGGAGCATTCTTCGTTAAAGTGGTGTGGCCAGACAGAGGTTATCAGAGCTTCTGGAAGCGAGTCTGTCTCTTCGCTAGCTATAAAGAGAGCCCCAGGTGACAAGATTTCTCACCTAGGGCACAGTTTCACCATCTATTTAAGCGTGGTTTTATTATCAGTTCTCCAAGACCATCTGCCATCCCCTTCCCATTCACAACTACATCTGCCATGTCCTTTGGGAGAGCTCCGAGCACACACACACACATAAATACATAGCAAGGCCTTATCAGCCATGCATTTGCCCAGATGCAAGCACAGAGCGTTGCTGCTGCAGCCACCGAGCTGATAGGAGTTACACAAGAGGGATATAATTTAGAATGAAGTTTTGTTAAATATCTGGGGGTTTTGTAAGGTCAAGGATTTTTAGTGCATCTTTATATCAATCACATTCTGTTTGTGGAAGTGAATGCTGTGGCTGAGAGCAGAGTGAGTTCAGTGTGATCCCCATTCAAAGAATTAATTAATCTTCCTTGTCTATTCTCTTGACATCATACACACATATACACAAAACAGAAGGAGGTAGAAACTGCCCTGTCTGCTGTGGGACTCTGAGCAACAGTGGGAATCTTCCCAGGAAGGGCATTAGCTGGGCAACTTGCCAACCACCCACCATGTGCAGACAAACCTGATCTGCTCTGGGTTGTGTCACCATATTGGCATGATGGCTTCTATACCTTACAGGAGTGCACAGCGGAAGGACAAGAGGCATCCAACATGGACTGCAAGGAGAAAATAATCCCTTACTGAAGAAGCAACCAGGTGCCTGGAGCAACATCCCTGGAGAGATTCAAAGTGACCCTGTGACTTCAGCCAGACTTACCAGAAGACAGCAGCCAGCTCTTTCTGGACTGACTACCCCAGCAAATGAGTATCTGAGGAGGACCTGCTTTGCACTGCTCTGTTGGAAAGCTTGGTCTCGCTTCTGGGCATTTAATCTATATAAGTCATGTTCCCCCATTGTTAGGCCAGAAAGTGAAGTGACCCAGTTTGGTGCACTACAGAGCTGATTTGCTGCCAGATGTATGGAACCACAGTCAGAGCAAAGAGCCTGTTGTCTTTTCTGCAGCTTCACTTGGGCCTCTGCTTCCATTGAAGAGCCCAGCTTTCAGGACTGAGCCCTCTCGGCTGGAGCCAGAGCCCGAGGCAGAGGTCCAGGTTGCTGCTTGGGGTGTCCCGTGACATCTCTGGTGTGGAAGAGTGCAGTGGGAGCTTCCTCAGGTGGGGATCTAGCACACTTCTTATGGGCTCAGCATTTCTGATTCTGGGGACAAGGGTAAAGGGCTGCATCCTCAGAGAACACGGCAGCCCAGTGCTCACATGGGGCCAAAGCTGAGCAGTGGACAGCACCAGTAGCACCAGTCATGTTACCTGGTGTAAATTATTGTGGCAAGAACTGCTAACAATTTCAGGTAACCTATGTTGCTTAAATGTGACAGAGGACCACAGCTGAAAATTAAGTATTATTTTCCCTCAGAGCAGACTGGGCATAACCTCCCTTTCTCCATCTCTTGCAGCTGCATTTCACATCACCCAGTTAACAGCTCAAAGAATAGAGAAGATGCTGGTGCCAGGCCAGGCTGCTACTGAGGTGGGTAGAGCCTTGGGTCATGAAGCCAAGTGCAGAGACCTGGGTTTCACTTCATAAATCAGAGGGCTGTGCTTGGGAACAGGACATTATTAGGGACAGTACCGGGTTGCCTGGTGATTCCTTCCCATATCCAGGCTCTGGCAGTGCAGTGTGATGGGAAAGCCTTTCTGAGCCGAGTTGCTTGCCAGAGAGGTTATTTTGAGTAGCGCTGGGTGCCTTGAGCAGTGTGTGTTGACACTGACCTCTAGTGGGAATAGATGCCCTTCTCTTTAGTTTTTCCCTGCAGTTTTAACTATTTTAAGTGACACATCTTAAGGGGGACTGGAGACAGCCCAGAATTAGAGCTTCGGCTTTAAAACCCTCAAAAGCAAATCAGAACATCAAGATTGGCCTCATATTTTATTTAAATATTTTTATCCCACTACTATTTCCTGCAAATACATTATATATAGATATTATATATATGCATGTGCATTTGTAGATGTATATCCTTCTGTATTTAAAGCCTCTGAAAATAATGAAAGTCCAAAACCCACATGGCCAGGCAGAAAAGCTTTTTGTTAGGAAGACAGCATGAAAATGAGCCCAAGCCTTAGTGAATGAGAGACAGAAGGCAAATAATAGGGCAAAGTGGCCAAGTTCCTCTTTCAGGCTTTCCAGTCAAATTGTCTGAAGGGTTAATAGAAGCATGCCCAGCCAGAGGAGGGGTGTCAGGAGATGGTACCTGAGCTGGGTATTAGTGGGTGTACTTGAAGGAGTAGAGAGTGGCTGGCCATGGATGCCTGGGTGGCATAGCTGATGTAAATGGGGAGTGCCTGGTCTTCACAGCTCAGCTGCAGGAGACCATTGCAACATAGTCCCAGGAGAGCACTAGCCAGCTCAAGAAAGGTCAAGGCTCCCCTTAAGGAAGCTGCAAGATCACTACCTCCAGCTGAACTCACATCAGCAGTAGAGGAAGACCACTTCCAAGGGCTGCTTGGTAGCCAGAGGTGAAGAAAGTTTGCAGTGGACTGGACTGTAGAGTCTGCAGTGGTGTATCTTGAATTGCCTCCCTGTAGAACTGGTCCAGGGTTTATTAGTTTGGGCTTTGTGCTTTGGCTTTGGCTGAATCACTTCTGGACATGTTCTAGCCCTGGAATCAGGATCCACACCTATGCCCCAACTGGAACACGACATCGCTAGATAAACAAGTGTGACTGCCACTTGATGCAAAGGTAAGCAGAAACTAGTTCACAGAGAAACGAGATCTTTGTGCATCACCACACAGGTTTGTGCTGATTTAACCAAAGTGGATTTCTCCTAATGCCTCATTTTACCCATACAAAAGTGTACAAGGAACCGTTCCATGATGGAGCTGCATTTCTAACAACATCTAGTATGTTATTAGAAAAAATGACAAAGGCATTTTAGAAGATAGTTGATGGGTAACCTAGGAGCAGTTGGGTATGGAAAGGTGGAAGAATAGAGATTCTGTGTGGGTGTCAGGAACGACAGCTACAGGTAGAGCTGGGATGCAGCCACCACCAGGGTGTGAGAGGGAGTGGCATGGATATATGGCCCAGAACCCCACCCTGCATTGGACAGATAGATGTGGGAGAAGCTCTTTTCCCTTAGTAATTGTAGTCTTGCAGCTAGGCAGTGCCAGGGACACAACTGGAGACACTGAAACAGAACCTGAGCGTGGGAGGAAAACTTATGACTGGAAGTTATTGATGCCAAAAGAGACATACCTGCCTCCTTCCTGCTGTCCTCACACCCCAAAACCTTTCTCCCTGCCTGGTCAGAGGCACTTTTCATGGACAGCTCTCCTGCAGCAGTCTGTGCTCACAGGCCCAGCAGCCATGGGGCAATGACGCAAACCCAAAGCAGCAGCTGCAGTGTGGGAAAGGGAAATCATTGGTGCTTTGCATGTGGTTTGTGCGAGCCCAACCAGTACCCATCACCAAGTTCTTCCCAGGTGAGCTTCCCTGCAGGAGATTGTTCCCCTCTTGCTGGGATGAACTGGAAAGATGGGCACCCTGCAGAGACGGAAAGTCACCTCAAGCAATAAAAGCAAAAATTGAAATTGATTTTAAAGTATCAGCTGTGTTCAGAGCTATCTAGGTTGTCCTTTGAGGAAAGCCCACTGCTTGGGACACTGGAAAGTAACTAGATGATATCTATGCAGATCCATGAGGAACACTACTGGATAGTTTTGGCTTTAGAAGGAGAGCACTGAAATGCAGGCTGGTCAACCATTCACAGGCAGTGAGCTGGGCCTTTATTTGACTTCTATTTTCAGCTTTTATTTCTGTGTCTTGGCTGCTCTTGCGTGAGCCCTGGCAGCCACTCTGGGCTTTGGGCTTTCTATTTGCAATACAGAAAGGTGGTGGGAAGGGGCTGGACCAAAAGGCTTGTATAGCCAACTGCAGTGACCTCCCTTTGCCTCTACAGGCAGGACAGATGAGAAAGTGTCTTGGTGGGTGAAACGGTTTAATCCATGCACGTGGGAAAAGCAAACTTCTTGTTCACACCTATCTCTGCTACCAGTAAGTGACATCCACCATATCGTTTCCCACAGAGCCTGCGGCTTCAGTCAGCACCTGCACATGCAACAGCATCCTCACCCACACACCGCCTAGTTTGACAAGGTCCCTCTTCCACCCCTGGCAAACCTGCCTGCTATTTAAAGAACCCAAGCCAACAGCGCAGGGGCAGGAGGCAGGCCCAGGACACACCAGCACGTACTGCCCGGCTTCGGGAAGTGCAGCGTGACCACCTCCCTCTCCCGCGCGCCCCGGCCCGCCCTTCCGTGCCCACGCGTTCCGTGCCCACGGGTGGGTTTCTCCCTCCTGCTGCCTCTACGCACTCCCCGGACAAAGCGGGCGGGGCGAGACAGCCTCTCGTTGTGCCGGGAGGTGCCGGGGCAGCGCGGCGGGGCGGTGGCGAGGGGAATCCCGGGCAGGCGGGGCCGGGCGCGGCTGAGTCAGTGCGGGCAGGGGAAGGAGGAGGAGAAGGAGGAGGAGGAGGAGGTGGAGCTACGGCGCCTTGGACTGTCCGCTGGCAGCCACTCGCTGGGTTTTCCGGCCATGAGCCCCCCGGCGCCAGGAGCGGGGCCGGGACAGGGACCCGGGCCGGGGCAGGCGGACGGCGGGCACTGAGCCATGTCGCGGGCGGCGGGCGGCGAGTGCCGCAAGGAAGCGGCGGCCTGGGAGGGAGAGGACGGGCAGTGCGACTCGGGCATCGAGTCGCTGCGCTCGCTGCCGGGCGGCAAGGAGACCCCCGCCGCCCCCGAGGCCGCCCCTGAGACCCTCGCCGAGACCACCGCCGCCGCCGAGGAGCGGCTGGACTCCAGCTACGGCTCCGGCGCCCTTCCTGAGGCTCTGCCCGGGCTGCCGGGCGTTCCGGGGAGCCGTCCCGAGGAGCCGTCGCCGCCGGCCGAGGGGCTCAGCCGGCAGCAGCTGGACGCGCTCACCTACCTTTCGGAGGACGGAGACACGTGAGTGACCCCCGGGGGCGCTACGAGTGCCAGCTCCCCCCATCCCCCCGGCTGGCGGCGGGGAGCCGGTGCCTAGAGATAAGCCAGGCAGAATCTGCCGTGGTCCTTATCCCTCCCCCGAGGAGCATCCGTTCAGCCGGGCTGTGAGTGACTCCCCAAATCCCTGTCCTGAGAGCCTCCCGCCTTGCCTTGCTATGCATGGATGCTTGGCACCCCGCTGTAGGTTTGCGTTGGTGATCCCCTCACCCGCCTGAGGGGCATCTGAGCCGAGTCCTACAGAGTGAGCAGAGAAAGACGTACCCCAGGTTACATGGCACAGAATGGACCCACCTTAGGAAGCTAGCTTCTGCTTGCTATGGGGCTGCTGGCAACTAGAAGAGCAGAGGGAGCAAATCAAGCCCCTCACTGGCTCTTACCCAGAGAATTCAATGTTTCCTCCCCAGTAAGGCTTGGCTGCATGAGATGGCATGTAAGCAAGATCTGAAACAAGGTTGGCTATGCAAGGCAAGACCTTGGGATGGCTGTGTTAGATGCTGCTCAACCCAGCAACCCAAGAACAGTTTGTTCTCAGGTGGGAATTGCCTTGCTTTGCCAACCTGCCGCCAGAGCCGCAGCTTTTGGCACAGTTGAGATGCACATCCCAGTATGGGGCTGCCCTCGTGAGCCTCTGTGACGGAGACAAGTGTTTCTCTTAATGAGGAGGGGCTTCACATATCCATAATGCCCTCTCAAGCGCAAAGGCATCATGCCAGAGTTATTTGGTTTGGCTTCTGGTAATTGCCTTCACCTAAACACAGCGTTTTTTCCCGTTGTACATTCCCTCGACAGAAGGTTGTCATCATGAGTGTATACACAGAGTATGAGTGAAAGTTCTCACAGTTGAGGGCAAAGCTTTGCCCCAAACCCAGGCTGGAGTTTAATACTGAGTAATGGTGCAAGAGGAAGAGAAACTAAGAGGCACTGATATGAGCAAGGAAATGTCTTCAGTAGTGGCAGCAAGAAGGCTCTGTCCTTGCCTGGCAGACCACATCTGGATTGAAGCTGAAGATGGGCTGGGAGACAGCCTGTGTGTTTACTTCCCAGTTAGGAAGGAGTCTGTGCTTTTGCTAATTAGTTCATTAATGCCTACTGTGGGATCTGCTCTGAGGATTGGCTGGAAGTCTCATGGCATGCAAGGTTAGACTAAACCCAACCTCCCACATTCCCCAGCCAGACTTTCTAGTCCTGTCCTATCTATGGGCTCGTTCTGGAGCTCCTCAGCATAGAGCAGCTGCACTAGTTTTCCCAGCTCTAATGCTAGAGCCAAGGTGCCCACTGAGAGAACCATGGGTCTTTCCATCAGAGCTATGTAAGTAAGGCTTCAGAAAGCCCCCCGGGCTTGTCTATCATGGTGTGCCCAGGGCTCTTCACTCACTGTTTTTTTAGTGAGCCCCGTAGATGCAGCTGCAATGCACATGGAGATGCTTTTACTGCTTGGGGCTATCTTGTTTGGGAGCTGAGCCCTTTGCCTGTCAGACTTGCTTGGAGAGACCTAATGCAAACATCTTATTAACTAGGGAAACATTAATCAGTGGTGTCTTGGTTTCTGTAGGCAGGAGAGGCTCTCGGAGAGGTCCCCAAACGGTTGCCGTTACTCTTCTGTTTTTTCTCACTCACAGAGCAGTTCAGAACAGGAAATCTGTAAAAAGTGAGGGTGGGAGCAAAACATCTGCTGGTGGTACAGCTCATACAGCTCCGGACTGGCCGTGTCCACACAGGAGATTGCTTTCCTGGGATCTGCTTCCACTGCTGGGGAAAAAAACAAACCTATTCTTGTGGTTAGAATGGTGAGGCTGTGGTGAGGCTCTGCTATTCTTGCCTCTCCTTCTGACCCTGTGGTAGAGGTAGGTGGCATTTATATTTAGAAGTGCTGAACATCCTCAGCTCAGGTCGATGCAACTGGGAACTGTGAGCACCCAGCGACTCATTGAACTGCCGCTGTTATTGTATGTGAAAACAGTCAGGGCTGATAGTCAAGTCTATGGAGCAATTGCTCATCCAGTGATGGAAGGTCCCCAGAGGGAAGGGATCAGATGGGCACAGGTTACATCCCTTTCATCTGGCCAGACAAACCCATCGACTTCTTTTCTTCTTTTTATCTCTGTCAGCAGCACATTTCTTTGTGTGCTTTTTTTTGTCTGCCACAAAACAGCTCCAGGCAGAGAATTAAAATCATACTGTCATTATATTTCAGAAGACTTAGGCAACAACACTTTACTGTAATTGTAATTCTGAAAATACAAAAAGTTCAGGGATTTTGGCTAAGTAGTTCCTGTTTCCCCAGATGCCCTGGCTGGTACCAAGGGGAGAGGAGCACTGGGCTTGCACAAAGGGAGCTGGCAAAAGTCTTGGCTCTCCATCTGACAGAAATCTTCACTATCCATAACTCACTCAGGCTCACCCATCTGTGCCATCCTGAGGTGTGCCTGTGTTTGTCTGTCTGGCCCTTGTGGGGGAAGTACAGGAGGTGGAAGCAGAGGCGAGGAACGTGTGCTTGGGTGGTTGGAGCGTCAGCAGGATCCTCCCTGGCTGCCTCCCTGCCCGCCTTCATGGGAGAGGAGCGTCAACCCAGATGGGATGAAGCAATGAGCCTAAAACTGGCTCTTTCTGTGCTCAGAATTAGGAGTCTAGCTTTGGCAAGAAGGAAGTGGCCAAGAGGGAAGAAGGGGGTGTGATGGCCAGTGAAATATGTGGGTGCTGTCTTCTAAGAATTATTTGCCCAGATGTTGTCCCCCCCATGACTCCTCAGTACCACTGGCAGCCCCTCCATCTCTGGGAAGTCAGAGCTGCAGTAATCGGTCACAGGGACATCAGTCCTCAAGAGAGAGTGGCTGAGCTGACAGGGCAGCAGAGGTCAAGGATGAGGAATGGGGCAGAAGATGGTAGGAGCACTTAGGGCAGTGATATGTATCTTGCTTATTCTGTGACCAGATAGAGAACAAACCCTGTGCACTCAAGCTCAAATGGTCTCCTCCAAGCATCCGTCTTTTCCTTGTGACCCAGTACTCCTCCAAGTATCCATCTCTTCCATGTAAACAAGCTCTTTTTCTGCTGAATTGGGTCCCAATGGGACTGCTCTACATGGAAGTGAAGAGAGGGGCTTTCCAGCTGTAGACATGGCTAGCTCTGAGCAGGCTTCAGGCAGCTCCAACCTCTGAACCACCTCAACCTTTTTTAGGATTCACTAAGGAAACACCCTCTTTCCCAGCCTCAACAGGCAGATGCACAAGTCCAGCATCCTGGAAAAGGGCTGCCTGTTGGACCAGCACCTTCAAGGTGAAATGGGGTGTGATGGGATCACCTGTTGTGTTCCAGCACAAGGGAAAACCTCCCTGGTTGGGCTTATGTCAGCCTCTGCCAGCTCTGGAGAGGCAGAGTTGATTCATTGGTGTGTGAAATTAAGCGGAGTTTCCTCTCTCTAGGACTATCTTAAACTTAAAAATGTGTTTTCCTTGGTGCCCATGCTGGTCCTTGGGCCATACGCCAATTTATGCCATTGGTACCTGATGCCGCGGTGATGGAAAGGCTGGGGGCTGCGCCCCCACAGGAGGGTGACTATCTTCTGCACGGGGCTCTGTATGCAAAGCAGCGCAGTACCTCTGTGGGGGTGAAGGTCAGGGGACCCCAGCTCAATCACAGGAGAGAGACCAGAGCCTCCTTCAGATGGAAAATGGGACCGAGTGGTTTTGGTCGGGCACATGTTTCTTGGAGGGAGGGGAGCAGAGGAAGCTTGACTTCCTCCTTCCACCAGAGACAAGTGCTGCTCTGTCTGCTGATAAGAAATCACGTGCCAGTGACTCGCAGGCTCAGATGCCTTAACAAGGGCTTGGGGACGGTTAATTGAGTAAAATTGGGTCCCCATGGGAGGTGATGTTCTGAGCTCTTCTCCACATGATGGTAACGAAGGGGCCTTCTCTGCTGAGCCCTTGCCCTGAGCCATTGAGCACGAAGGCTCATCTTGAGGGGCCACTTCTAACCATACACCAGTGTGTGCCAGTCTTAACCCTCCCAACTCATGGAGCCCTGTGCCAGAGATCTTCCCTGAGCAGGGGAATAGAGGTTGTCCCCATTCAGGCTGTCTGCTCCAGTGTGGCTGCTTGCTCGGTGCTTCCCCTGCCAAGCAGGGTTGTTGTTGAACCCCTGTAGCCCTGGATCCCAGTGTGTGTAAGTGGGGGAATGCTCAGTGTGTGACAACAAGGGGTAATTACTGTGAAAGAAGGAAAAAGAAGCAGAGGACTGGAGAGACTCGGGATTAAAGAAGTCCAATGCAGAGAGCGCACCTGGTTGCTGGTCAGGCTGGGAGTCCCCCTGCTTGTCTGGGCTGGGCTGTTGCTGGCTGCCCAGCAGTGAGGTGGCCATAGTTAATGGGAAGTGGGGATGCTCTTGGTTTTACCAGAGGGGCTTTGGAAAGAAACCTCCTTCCTTGATCGTCGGGATTCAAGTCCATTCAAGTCCATCCCTAGTTGCTTCCTAGCATGCTACCATTGTGGAGCAGAAAAGAAAGTCAATCCTAACATGGGTCTGGCAGGAGGGGAAAGAGAACTTCCTGTGTCCAGCTCCCTGTCCCTGGATTCTTGGCTCTTCCTCTGTGTGTGCTCAGGAGTTTGGTAAACAGGGGAGGGCTTGATGTTCCTCCAAGCAAGGGCAGAAAGCTCTGGAGCATCCTACAGGATGCCCCAGAAGTTGCTGGCTGCCGCAGGGGTCACACACATACAGCCTTGGAGTAAAGTGGGTAAGTCCTGGCAGCCTTCTGAGACTGTGCATGCAAGAAGAGGTTTTTTCTCTGTTTGGATGACTTCAGCCTGGCCTGGAGGAAGTTTCTTCAGACTTTCCACCTGCCTAGGTTTGCCTTGGAGCTAAGGGGAGACAAAGCACAGGGGAAAGGAAAGAATGGCTGGAAATTTCCATGTCCTGGGATGCAGAAGCCTGATGCCTGGCTGTAACAGATCAGCCGAGGTGGG